CAAAAAATAACTAGTCAGAGTGAAGATTACAGTAACTGAAATGAAGACGTTACAGGGGATCGACAGCAGATTAAACACAGCAGAAGATTAGAATCGGCAACTTGGAAGACAAGGAAGCAGAAAACACCCAATCAGAACAGAAAAAAGCAAACAAACAAACACCCAAACACCAGAAAAATGAGAACAGTTTAAGGGGCCTCTGGGACACCAACGTTCTCAACGCGGAGCCAGGAGGAGAGAGAGCAAGGAACAAAAACCTATTTGCAGAAATGAGGGTAGAAAGCTTCCCTAACCCGGCAAATGACACAGACAGACAAGCCAGGGCCTGCAGCGTCCCCAACAAGAGGAACCCAAAGAGGCCCACACCAAGACACATCATAATTGAAATGCCAAAGGTTAAAGACACAGAAAAATCTTAGAAAGCACTTGGTTACCTAAAAGGGAACTACCGTAAGACTGTTAGCTGATTTGTCAAGAGAAACTTTTGCAGGCCAGAAGGGCGTGGTGTGAAATATTATTTCAGTTATGTGTAGGATCTAAAAAACTAACTAAATAGACATAGACTCAAAGATACAGAGCACAAACAGATGGTTGCTAGATTGGGGGTATGGGAGGGGACAGGGGGCTGGGTGAAACAGGGGAAGGGAATAAAAAGTACAAATTGGGGCTCAGTAGTTGAGCGTCAACCCATGAACCAGGAGGTCAGGGTTCGATTCTTAGTCAGGGCACATGTTCGGGTTGTGGGCTCAATCCTGGGTAGGGGGTGTGCAGGAGGCAGCCGATCAATGACTCTCTCTCATCATTGATGTTTGTCTCTCTCTCTCTCTGAAATCAATAAAATCATTATTTTTTTTAAAAGTACAAATTGGTAGTTAGAAAACAGTCATGGGCATCTAAAATACAGCATAGGGAATATAGTCAATAATATTGTAATAACTATGTGTGGTGTCAGAAGGATACTAAATTCATCAGGTGCATCACTTTGTAAGTTATTTAAATGTCTAACTATGTTGTACACTTGAAACTAATGTAATATTGTACGTCAACTGTAACTGAAAAATAAAAAATTATTTAAAAAAAAATAACTGGCATCTCTGGGCCTGTTATTCTTCTTCTAAAATGGGGATGAATTATAACTACCTCATAGGATTGTTGGGCAGTTGAGTGAGTTAGTGAGTAGCACCCAGCACACAGTATACACTGGACAAGTGCTGGTAAAAATAACTAACTAAAAAGCATAAGCATCTGTGAAGGCAGAGCTGCTTTGGTCTCTGCCCTGGATATCATATCCTGTGCTTGGGACAGTGACCCAAAATTAATGCTCAATATATACTTGTAGAAACAAACTGTATTTGTCTAAAAGGGCTTGCTTTAAAACTAGACTGCCAGAAACTCAGTCTATAGACATATTCCAAGCAGTGTAGTGAGCCCTGGCTGGTGTGGCTCAGAGGTTGGAGGGTCGGCCTGAACACTGAAGGGCTGCAGGTTCAACTCCCGGTCAAGGGCATGTACCTGGGTTGTGGGTTTGCCCCACGGCCCTGGCCGGCGCTTGTGGGAGGCAAATAGTCATCGATGTTTCTCTCTCTCTCCCCCTCTCTTCCGCTCTCTCTGAAAAAGCAATGGAAAAAATGTCCTCTGGTAAGGATTAACAAAAACAACAAACAAACAAAAAAACCGTGCAGTGAGATATGTATACAGGGAGGATGTAGCACTGTGTACAAAGACACCTAAGTGTCCATCTACTACACCTAAGTTACACTTATTCACACACCAGGACACTGTGCAGCATTTACAAAGAATAAAGTGGGACTGTAGGGGGTAATGTGGAAAGATCTCCAAGACGCGTAAGTGTGAAGGGCGAGGCTAGAGGGAAAGAAGCAGGAATGCATGTGCCTATGTCGTTTATGTGCGAGGTCTCGGAATCCCTGCACTAGATCCTGTAACTGGTCACCGACAGGGAGGAGGGGAAGCAACCTGGACTTAAATATTTTTAAGTTCTTTACCATAGAAGGACTCCATCAGGTACATTTATTACTCTTACTTAAATGTGTTTAAAGTGGTTTGTGCTGTTGTAGTATAGTTTTCCTCTCTGGAACCAGAACAAGCCCAGAGAAAAAAATTTGAGCAGGAAAAAAAGATGGTGAGTCCCTGAGAAGGCAATAAAGCGATTTGACTGCCCAATCTGCCAGTTTACTGACTAGTAGAAGGGGGAGGGAGCTCAGGTGACCATTTAGGACCAGCCATGTGTGTAGATAAATGATATAAAAGCTAATGCTGATTGAGAGCTTACATGTGTCAGGCACTGCTCAGCCCTTTCCAATGATCATCTCATTTCATCCTACCTATGAGTGGGCACGATTATTATCCAAATGTTTCTGAAGAGAAGTGGAGACGTGGAGCATTAAGCAACTCGCAGGAGGGCACACAGCTCAGCAGCAGAGGGGCTGACATTCAAACTCAGGCAGAGCCACAGCCCAGACTGCAGGCCTTTAGTCCCAGCAGAGAGTGGCTGCCACACAGAGGCGGTGCAGGGGACCCAAAGGCAGAGGAAGCTTTCAAAAATTTATCCAGCCCTATTCTTGTCACACCATCTGGCATTTAATAAAAACTCCACTGTGCTTTCAGCTTATAAGAGTCAACAGCATAGACTCCAGTCAGTTCCCAAAAATTATAAGCCATCTCACACAGTAAGGAAATTATACAGCGAGAAGGTCAAAGACTTCCGAAGAGCAATGCAGTCCAATGCCTTAAAACTGGGATGGATTGATCTTAGGCATAAAAAAATTTCAACTCCAAAATAGCTAAGCATCAGTCACGGAAAGGCCGCTTCACGTGAGAGGCTCATACATTTTCTGAAAAATGTTTCCTTGCTGCCACGTACCAGGGAGCGGTTAAGGCAACAACTTCTTAGTTCCATCTAGGATATTCCTTTAGCGATTTTCAGGAAAGAGTGTGGGGTGTGAAAGTCAAACTGAGTTGGGTTTGGTTCTGGCTCTAGTATTCGAGAACCAGCTGTTCAACCCTGAGACAGCACAACCTTGAAAAAGTTCCTAAGTGCTACCTGGCGTCAGCACCCCCATCTAAAAACTGGGGACAATAGTTACCTCTGCCTAAGCAGCAAAATTCAATGGGAAAACACAGTGATTCCACCTATGTGCCACCTCAACATAAACACCTCAGTGCATGAGTTTACTTTCCTTTTTCCCCCAGACCAACTGTTGTCCAAGTAACATGCTTCTCCTTTTCAAATCAACGCTCTCTGGCTTTGCACTCTCACCTTTAACTGCTCCAAAAATGCAAATGGAGGTTTTTTTAATTTTCTATTTCAGGGGACTCCAGCTCCCCAGGTGGGCATAATAACTGATTTCGGGAAAGGACTATTCACTTTCTGCTAACCAAAGAGGATTCACACTCGCTCAGTCCTCAGCCACTTGAATTTTTAACTAGGTTCACATCTATAAGGTACTTCTCCCTCCCCTCGCCTCCCTCCTAGTCCTCAAAGAACCCTTCTTGCCTCAGGTATTCTGAGGTTCCCCTGCCAGCCCCCAAACCACCGGGAAACTAAGACAGCTGATAATTAACAATACTTAAAGGAAATATTCCTGAGTTCGCAATCAGAAATTTGATTAACATCTAAACACTGTCCAGTGTATATTTACAATTTGGAAATAAGCAGTAGGTACAAAGATAATTCTCTTTCCCTTCTCCCTCCAAGGAAGATAAAATCAGGATCAGCACACTTAAGGTTCATCATGATCATTACTTAACGGGCAGCCACTGCCTGGAACAGAGGCTGTTCTCACATCAAAGCTATAATGTCTCTAATAAAAGTCAACTTTGTATTTACCCTTGTTTTTAAGTCTAATCTTGAAACTGCCTCTGTACTCGTCCAATAAATCCAACTGTTCAGAGTTCATAAAGAGATGCCATAATAATTCGGTCAAGTTAATAATTTGACCTAGTTAACAGTATCATATTATGTCCTTCTGTCTCAAATAATAACACTCAAAAGAGCAACCAAGGCATCATACTGCTCTCAGGAAATGTACGTTTAATTTCCCCCCACATTTGGGTTTGACCGTGCAATCTCGTTTGCATGTGTAGCGCATCCTATCGATGTACTTCCACCTGTGTGAAATGATGTCTGTCCAGGTTATTCAATCAGTGCAGCAGCGTTTTGAAATAGTAAAAATACTTATCCCAAGGGAACTAGTTAAATAATTATGGAATGCCCACACAGAAAGATCGCACAGCCACGCACAAAGGAAGACAGGAGCGCTCTGCTACTGGGCCGCAAGACCTGGAAGGCGCGCTGTTGAGAACAGCAGGTACCAAGCCGCGCGCACGCGTGTTATACCACCTGTGGTGTAAAACAGGGAAGGAAGAAGAGCACGCATATAACACACGCATGTATCGCACACACGCACCTGCATTTACGTAACGAAATTTCAGAACAGTGATCAGAAACCGGTAACATTAATTGTAATATTGGGAGGCAAAAGAAATGGAAATTAGGCAGGTGGAAGGCAGGTATATAAAAGAGATTAGTTACTGAATATTTTAAGAATATTTTGCTTTATGAACCATGTAGATGTATTATCTACTCGAAAAATACCTTAAAATTAATTAGTAGGAAAAATGCCATTCCATTCCTTCAAGATTAAGACACCACCACCTACAAGGTCACGTTTTGTGACTGATCAGGAGTCTTCTTCCTCTCCCTCTAATACCATACTCACCCACATTGAAAAACAAAACACGTGTTTAAATTAAAAAATTACACCAGAAAGCGTGTAGAAGAAAAAAGAGCCACAAAACCCACTTTTAAGGAGCTACACAAAGCCTTATTCCATGTATTTTATTATTCATGTTAAGGTGAGCTGCCATCTCCTCTAGGTGTTTAGACCTCACTAGTCCACAGAGCATTTCTGCCCAGGTGGCCCCGGATCCACAAGCGCCCAGAAGAGGTGTCCTCGTGACTGCCACACAGGCCCGCTCACCTTCATAGGTGCCCACTTCCAGGAGGGTCCCGCTCTGCTCGAGGTCCAAGAACTCCTGCACGGTCAGGAAGCTGTAGTCCACGCCGGGCACCTCTCCCTCCCTCGGAGAGCGGGTCGTGCCTGCAGCAGACAAGACAAAGGCACAAGAAACCATCCGTCAACTGGAACAGGAAGCTGCACATCCAGGTGTAATTAAAATAACCTGTTCAGTAAGCTGGAGCACCGAGGCCCCGAGACCGATCTGCCCAGGCAGGGACTGGTGAGGACACCTTCTTTCTATAAGAATCGCGTCCTCGCCTCCACCCACCCCTGCCTGGGACTCTCAAGTAGGAGCAGAGAAAAGCACGCACAGCGAGGTAACCAGGGAGAGTTTCCTCCTTTGAAAAGTGCACTGAAAGGAGGAGGTGAACTGGACTTTATACAGAAAACATTCATAATCAGCAGCTTTGAGGACTCTGGTAAACACTAAAAAGTTATCCACCTTAAGCTCAAAGCCTAAGGGGCTTATGTTTTTATCACAGGCCTGGAGATTCTTGTGTTCCTTAGCACATCCTGCAGGTTCCAGTGTAATAAGCCCTTTGCAGAAAATGACACCCACATCCCTAGGGAAATGCAACTGCCCGAGATCTGCGGTTGGATATCTCCCAGGACTAAATGCTGCGGCACTCCATGTAATTAATATGTTGGCTAAAAAGAGGCCACCCATAGTTCTGACTAGAGAGAAAGGACACTGCATTTTGCTAAAAGGTTCTCCCGCTGAAGTAAGCTGGTTATTCTCACAATAACTAATAAATAGACAAATTCCCCTTATGAAATAACAAATACAGAGCCTCTGGAGTAGGTAAGTCACCAGCTCAGGTGCAGGGCTACCGACTTATCATTTTAGTTGAAGCTCAACCAAAAGTGTGGAAGCGATGTGGAGAGGTGTGGTTTATCCATAAACCAGTAAAAGAAAATAAACCAAGGAGCAATTATGTAGTGTGTACTAGGAACCTATGCTAAATATTATGAAAGCGCAAAAACAGCAAAACCCAGGATTCAGCTCCCATGTTCCAGTTAGGAAACATCACTGACATAGCTCATGTTGAAAGGCACTGTCCCTGTGCTGCTCTAACAGATCAGTATTTTCCTACATAGTGAGCAGGGATCTCGCCATTCCTAGGAATTTTAAAGCAATTAGATGACCAACTGCATGTACCTAGTGGCTCCCATTTCCCAGCATGACTAGTCTCTGACCGCGTCATATCCACACACACGCAGTGGATACCCAGAATGCCCTTAAGTCAAAAAGTCCAACACGGTTTGCATATTTTACTCAAGATAAGTGCATTTTTATTTTATTTTATTTTATTTATTTATTTATTTATTTATTTATTTATTTATTTATTTATTTATTTATTTATTTATTTAATTTTTAAAAATATATCTTTATTGATTTCAGAGAGAGGATAGGAGAGGGAGAGAGAGACAGAAACATCAATGATGAGAGAGTCATTGACCGGCTGCAGCCCGCAACCTGGGCATGTGCCTTGACCGGGAATCGAACCCTGATCGCCTGGATCCTAGGTCGATGCTTAACCGCTGAGCCACGCCCAGCCGGGCAAGTGCATTTTTAAATGAGCCCAATTTTTCTAATATCTAAAGTATGAGTGTTTTCAGTAGCTGCAAATTTTCCATAGAATGGTTACATTACAAATGTTTTCCTCTCACCCAGCATGCTGCGGCTGTCCGGAAAAGCAGCCCACTTGGGGAGCCCCCAGAAGCCCACTCATACTGTGTCCTAGTTTGTTCCCATTTCTGGCTCCCCTGGCATACAATGACAAGTCCCTTGAGGTAGCTCACAACTTTTCAATTTATATCTTCAGTGTCAGGCTCACAGTGGGAACTCCAGAAGCATGAAGTATCATATAGTGTTGACGAGCAGGGGTGTGGAGTGAGCAGTGGGTTCATGGTCTGGCTCCCCTCCTTGTGGCGTTAGGCAAGTTCCTTAGCTTCTGTTATTTCTCAGCTTCCTCATCTGCAAAGTGGCGACCGTAAGAATACGCCCATCACCGGTCTGTTGTGTGTACTGCACGGGATAATCCTTTTAGAGGACTTAGCTCAATAATCACTAGCAGATATTGTAGTTCATAAACAATAACACTTATTGTTGGAATGAAATGAGTAAACAGAATCTTAGAGTTCAAATGATTTATATATTTATCATTACATAGATCCTTACGGTCCACTTATTTAATAAATATTTACTGAGGTCCCAATAGATGTCAGGCACTAATTTAGGGCCTGGGAAACACTATGAACAGGACAAAGCCCCTACTCTAATGGAATTTACATTTTACTATGAAAGATGGAAAATGAATATGTGATTAGATACGGCGTTTAATTTCAAGAGGGAATAAGTATTTTGTGGGAAACATAGGTTAAAGTATTAGAGAGTGTCTCAGGGCAACATAGGTTAAAGGGCTTGAAAGTGTCTTGGAGGGAGGAAGGAAGGCAGACAGGAAGGTGGAGAGTAGAGAAGCTACTTTAGACAGATGGTTAGGAGGAGCCGGCTAAGGAGTTTCCATCAACATTGAGCCCTGCAGCGGTGGTGATGGAAGAGCATTCCTGGAAGGACTTAAGGCCCAGGCCTTTGATGTGGGAATAGGGGTGGCATGTTGGGGGGAGGTCAAAAAGGCCAGAGAAACTGCAGCACAATGCAAAAGAGGTTAGAAATGAAAGTGCAAGTGAGAGGCCAGGCTATGTAGGCCACAGAAAACACTTGTTTTATTCTAAGGGTGTTGGGAAGAAGGTGCTGCCCTGATTCATTTTTAACAGATCATTTGGCTTTAGAGAGAACAGGCCATGGACAGAGTAGGAGGGGTACCAATCAGGTGCTGTTACAGTGTCCAGGCGAGAGAAATCAGGGCAAGGGCAAGAACACTAGGTAGAAGGTGGTAGGAAGTAATCAGATTTTTATCAAAATCATTGAGTATCACGTTTTTCTGTTTTTAACCCTCACCTGAGGACATGCTTAGAGAGAGGAAGGGAGAGAGAGATTGGACATATCTATGTCAGAGAGAAACGTGAATTGGTTGCCTTCCATATGTGCCCCGACCGGGGATCTGTACTGCAACCCGGGCATGTGACCTTAACTGGGAATCAAACAGACAACCTTTCAGTGCACAGGATGAAGCTCAACCAACTGAGCCATTCCAGCCAGGCAATGGTTGAGTATCTTAAATAGCTGTAATGTAGTCCACAGCACAGATATATTAAATGTATGTCAACTAATTGGGCCATACTAGGTCTATATTTTTAAGATAGAACTTGCTGATGGAGTGGATGTGATACTTTTGTAATGAGCTAGTTATTAATAATAGGAAAGGAACAAAGGGAAGGCCAGACATTATAGGTATGTCATTTGGGCAGCTTCACCAGGAAGCTGCAACTCTGCACTCCCCAGGGAAACACAGGCCCATCCCTGCAGATCACTGGGGGAAGAGGTCCAACAAAGGGGAGAGAGACACATGCCCAGTGAAGTTGGGGTGACATAGGGAAGGTACTTGTCTGTCAGTCAAACCTAGGGAAAGAGATAGTTGACCAGAATGGGTGGGGCCAGGGCAAGCCCATAAAAAGTTGGGCATACATAATCCCCTAAACAAAGGAATTCTCTCTCTTGTTGCACTTGACTCTTGGCTCTAGGGGGCTCTTTTGCTCCTGTTTCCTTGCATTCGCCTGTGTTTCCTCCATAGCCATGTGGCCCTGTGGACCCCACATGCTATGGACTGATGGACTGTAGCGGGGAACACAAGCTAAGCTAGTTTGATGCTGGATTGGACCCGGTTCCAATATGGAACAGAAACTCTGGACACAGCTTTGATTTTATCCCTAATGAAGCCTGCCCCAGCTACACTTCTTCTATGGCTGGGCAAATGGAAATGGGATTTTGGAAACTCAGGGATTAAATTTACACAAATAAAACTCACTTATCCTGCTGTGTAAGTCTCAGAAAATTCTTTTCTCGGGATATTGCAATGATTCCACCCCCACAGGAACAGGTGGGGACCGGGAGCCCCCCCACTTCCACCGGTAACAAATGAAATGTGTAAGAAAAGCAGACAAACAAAGACCAGCGACTAATTTTTTGACCTGGGCAAAATGGGTGATGCCATTTACAGAGATCAAGAAGATGGGGGAAATGATTTTTAGGGGAAAAGAATTTAAGAGTTTACTCAGAGAGATAAACTTTGAGATGCTTATTAGACACCTAGGTGTAGAGAGTGTGGACAGCTGGTTGTATAAATCTCAAGATCAGACTGAAGGTTGGGATATACAAGTGGGAGTGATCAGTTAACCAATGATATTTAAAGGCAAGAGACAGAAAGAGCTACTGTACGGAGACAGTGTAGAGAGAGAGAAGCCAAGAAGTTTGGGCTGAACACGAGAACCCTGTGATGTGTAGTAACTGGGAAAAGGAAGATCCTCAGTGGAGACTACGAGGCAGCAGTCAGCACGGCAGGAGCCAGGGCTGAGGGTGTGATGTCTGGGAGCCAGGGAGAAAGTTGTTCAGCCAGCTACTTGGAAAGCAAACAGTCAACATCATATTGGGAAATTCCAGTGCAGTGTGAGAATAGAATCTCTTTGAAAACTGCTGTGAAAGGATCTGTCCTAAATATGTTCTATATGTTGCCATTAATTTAACCCGTCCGCTCACTCCACCCACTGAAAGATGAGCATAAACCAAACCAAACCAAAGATTCCTTGGATTTTTAGTCTTCCCAAACCAGACTGTGTTGTTGTTTTTCTTCCCTCTGCAGCCATCTTATCTTTGCCGCTTCTTTCAACCATGTTTTCAGAAACAGTTTGTCAGATTTACTTTAAAGACAACAATCACCCCTGCGTCTTAATTTCCTAAAAGGATTCAAAATAATGACAAACTTCAAAAATGCGACATTTTAGAGGACAAATGGAACTAGCAGATACCATTTCCCCATGTAAATAAATATGCTTAGATGGCCTTGGAGCTGCAGGGAAGGGAGTGCAGGGTGGGGACGTCTCCACCCACAAAGCCTTCAGGGTTTATTACCCAGACGAAGCCTCTCCACTCTGCAGGCCAACAGGAGGTTTACTGGGGTTAC